CCTCCACGTCGCCCCCCCCCGCCACCACGCTCACCTGCCCCCCCCCCGCCACCTGCCCACCCGCCTCCTCAGCCCCCCACCCGCCCGGCTTGCCTACTCACTCCCCGCCACTGCCCACCCGCTCACCTACTCAGCCCCCCTCCCTCACCCACTGCTTGCCTACTCACCCACCCCTCCCCGCAGGCCGCACAGTGAGCCCACCTACTCAACCCTTGCGGGCCGCACAGTGAGCCCACGCGGGCCGCATGTTGTGCAGGCCTAGACTAGATGATCATAGTGGTCCCTTCTGGTCTAGATTCACAGTTTACAAGAAGCAGTGGTAGAAGAGAAAGGGTTGGCTTTTCCTTGCCATACCTCTGCTCATCTAGGTACAACAAGTGTATAAGAATGGTTTCTGTTCTCTATAACAAATATACATAGGTGGCAAGTTAAATATAGAGAGCACAGGTACAACATTTAGGGCTCAACAAATTGAACACATAACTTTATTATTTCAAATCAACTTAAGTACTGTCCCAAATCCCCCCATCAGACTACTGCCGAAGGTAAAACTGGAGTGGGTGTAGGAAAAAAACAAGAGCTAAGATGCAGGAAAAGTGCAGAACCTTGAAAGTGAGGATGTGAAGGTTTCTTTTAGGATACCAGATCTCTGATGTTTATTTCATATCTTTCACTTACCAGTGAACAATTGCCAAGAAAAACACATTCCTTCCAGTTGACAGAATTGAAAATGGATGTGGGGGTGTTAGTCCTCATTGATGACTTTTTAAATTCTCTGCTTTCAATTTCCCCTCCACCCACTCCCTTAAGGATGCACATTGTGGTTCTTTTTCTTGGCTAAAGAGCGATGTATGAGTTCTCAAGGGAATCCCACACTTTGCTTGGCCACAGTGTCAGCTGCAGAGCAACTCTGCCCTATCACAGGTCTCCCTAACTTACCAGCCTGAAGAACTAACAGACTAGAAACTGATGCTGGGTACTCATGAGTAAGGCTACGTTTTAGTCACGCTTATTTTTAGTAAAAGTCACAGACAGGTCACAGGCCATAAACAAAAATTCACAGCCCGTGACCTATCCATGACGTTTACTATATACCCCTGACGAAAACTGGGGGGGAGGCGAGGGAGCTCAGGGGAATGGCCGGGGGTGGGCAGCGTGGCAGATGCTGGGGTGGTGGTGAGCACAGCGGGTTCCAGGGGGAAGGGCCAGGGGGTGCAGCGGGAGCTCGGGGATGGCATGGCGGGTGCTCGGGGAGGGGGGCAGCCAGGGGGCACAGTGGGTGCGTGGGGGGGGGGGGGGAATTCGCAGCGGGTGCTTAGTGGGGGCGGACAAGGCTCCCTACCCGGTTCCTGAGCTCCACTTGCTGCCTCTGCTCCATCCCAAGCCCCAGTTCTACAGCTCACATTGGCTGGGAATCACAGCCAAAGGGAGCTGCAGGGACGGTGCTTGCCAGCAGAGGAAGCACATGGAGCTAGGAGCTAGTGGGGGGGGGGAGCCCCCCCTCCAGGTAAGCACTGCTCAGCACCCCAATCCCCAGCCCTGAGCCCCCCCACACCCAAACTCTTGCTGCTGGGG